TGAAATAATTATATCAATAATGGTTGGGAGTGCATTTCAATTACAAACATAGGTAAGGCCATAAAAAAATATTCCTAGATTCTCATCCCCCCCCCGCCCCGATTTTTCTCCCGCCTCGATTTTTTTTTATTTTGTTTTTCTTCGTCTTAATTCTGATCGGGATCGGTATTCATCTACCATTCTACTTTCGTTTTAAATCCCGCGTAAGTCGACATGATTTTGATAGCGGAAAAGATGGTAATTGCTGTAATACATGCGTATATATTTTAAACAATGGTCATTGGTTAAAAAAGATTGGTGATGATATCAAGTAAGAGATAATTGAACCTTTACTATGATTTTTATTCGGGTATTGTAGATAAAATTACAACGATTGCCCAAATAAAAAAATCTGCCAAATTGAAAAAATAAAAAATAAAAAATAAAACCGCCCGCCCCCTCGATTTTTGAAAAAATTCGGATGAGAATCTAGCAATTTATTTATTATGGCCTAATAACCACTATTGAAATACGACCCTTTGAAATTTATTTCAATATTGGGTGAGAGTGCATTTCAATATAATAACCATGGGTTTCAACCACTATTGCAATACGATCACTACTGAAATAATTTTTAAATTAATTAAATTATTTAAATTAAATAATTAAATTAAAAATTAATTTTGAAATCTGCTCTTTAGTATTAATCAACCATTTTATGATAAAATTTGAAAAATTTTGAAATACGTGTCCCCAGGGTCAGTGGTTCCTTTGGGGTGAGGTGCACAACTGGTTATAAAGTGGAAGTGCATTTTCTCTTTGTTACTCTGATCTACCTTTGGGTATTAAGTAAATAGAGTAAACATGCTTAATTTATAATTATGTTAAACAATGTGCCTCTTTCAAAATTGTGAATTGTGAATTTTTCTTGTTTAAAACAAAAACCAATTTTAATTGTTTGAAAGTTGTTACACAATACTCAGGTGACCTATAAGGCCCTTGGGTCTCTTGTTATTTACAGTACCTGTAACTACTGTGGTTGACCCCGCCTAAATTTAATAGTCAACAGGAGTGAGAAGATAACTCTGGCCTGTCAAACAACACGTAACCCACCACCAAGATCACGTGGTATAAAGCAAATTCTGACGTCACCAGTCAGGCCACGCCCACAGAAGATACAAATCAAGAATACCTTGTGAGAACAACCTCAGTATTGCAGATCACTGGCATGGTAGGAGAGAACGGTCAACAAGTATATTGTGTAGCCAGCAACACCCGGGGACGTAGTGTAGAATCCAACAGATTTACCATAGACGTGAAATGTGTGTACTAGAATCATATAGGTTAAGATTTTTTTCTTTTTAAAATTTCATTGTTTTATTTAAAAAAACTCAAATAATCCAAAATCATTTTACAATACATAACTAACCATTAAAATAAAATGGTGGCAACAAACCATTCTCTTCATTCAATTCTGGAAAAGATTCTGTCAATGCGTTTCCTAGAAAAGGAAATGCAAAAAAGGAAGGAAAGGGCGCCATATTCAATTCTTGCATTCTTCTATAATCTAGTTAATTTAAGGGCCGACATTTTTACTCATTTTTCATTGTTGATCTGATTTTCATATTCTGTTCAAATGAAAAATAAAATGGTGATGTTAATTAATTCTATTTTAAGATTTTATAAGTTTCTCTACATAGATGTTGTCTTGAAATCTGTAGTCTTTTTCAAATGAATGTATGTCATACCTTCATCACCTGCATCAGATATATATCTCAGTTGATTCCATACACAAGAACATGCTCTTGTATGTACAATTTCTAAAACCAGGCAAATTATTGACAAACAAGTTGATGAAAAAAGAATATCAGCAGTCTCATTAAAAGTTCATTTCGTAAGTTCTATTGTCGATACAAAGACCTTGTCAGCAAATACAATTCATCATTAATCTAAATGCTGACTGACGTTTTTCTATACTAATAAATAGTCGATTATTTACAAACAAAATTGAGGACGGATTTTTTCCGTTATTCCCCGATCATGACAACGAAAGGGGGGGACCGGTCGGCAGGGGGTGCTCACTCCTCCATGGCACCCAAAACCCCCCGATTTTCGGAGGGCCGTGTTTGCTCTGCTCTGATTTTGTATATTGTTTAGTGGACTTTAGTTTAATACTGTTCGTTATCTCCATATATTTCTTTATGAAGATTAAGGTTGTCAAAAGGTTATTATCAGTAATGTTATAAATATATTAAAAAAATTGTCTTTTCTCGTGTTTTGTGCTAACAGCTTAAAAAATTAAAAACAAAATCAACAATTGAAGGTTTAAGCAAAGTCTTTGTATTATAAAAAAAATATTTTTCCCAAAAAATACTAATGACTGTGACATCTTTTTTTTTTTTAAAACCTTTTTCAATGAAAGGATATAAAGGGTGTTCGTGTAATCACTAAAATTCTATGAATCTCATAGATATTTCAGATGTAAAAATCTTACCGGGCAGTTGTTAAAAGGGAGTAACTGGGCAAAGCAATGTGTGGATTCTGTTTTACTGAAAATCCAGAAGATCTTGCCGAGTACAGCTGGACAAGATAAATTCTAGTAATTCCACAGTAGTGTCCACAGGTAACTTTACGTTATACAGACCGCCACCTTTGAGGATGGGGGTACATATACCTGTAGAGCTTCAAACTCTGTGGGGAATTCCAGCGGTTCTGTTGAAGTTTTAGTCAGTTAAGTTTTAAATTACCGAAGAATCAACTGCCCCTACATCATATTTTTTATAAATAATGTTGGACATTTCAACAATTCCTGTGAAAAATTGAAAACTTAGCTTTCAACATTGTACTTTTAAATCTAGAAAAATATATATTCAAGAAAAGAATTATAATGTTTTAAATCCACCAATGCATATCTTTATTTATTTAAAACCACTTGCGCCGGTATTGGTACATGTTATTTAGGTCTACAGAAGCATACGTTATATGGAAGTCGCCCTCCACAAAGGATAATAATAACATACACCATACTCTTCAGCTCAGTGAAAACAAAAACGTGTTTCTAAATGCATCGTTTGAAAAAATGAATAGAACAGATGATATAGAAATAAACAATTATAAAGTGACCAACCTGAAAACTGGATCTGTCTATATATTTAGAGTTTTGACCTCAAACCACTACGGGATCGCTCTGTCCAATAACCACTCATGTGTAACAGACCCAGAAAGGGTGGAGGGTATGTACATTGATCCTATTTCTGTAAGTTTGGAAATAATAAACATATAAATGGCAAACTTATTCCTTAGACTCAAATAAGGGATGTCCTACAGAGCAGATAATTGGAGGGATACTAGGTGGCGCTGTATTTACCATTATTCTGCTGATTGTTCCCTTTGCATTATGGAAAAGCAGAAAAGGAAAGGAAAATGAAGGTTAGTCCCTGCATTATTCAAAATTTTGTTTATTAATGAAAAAGGTCAAGATAAACAAAAAGACTTGATTGTAATTGTCTTCTATTAGATTGGTAAATATTCAGATAAATAAATGTTGTAATTAATATCTAATGTATACCCTGTAAAAATAAGTTACCTGTCTGTTGTTTTTCCAATTTTGTTTTTATTGAAAAGGTAAAACATAATTAGACAGTTATTGATAAAGAACAAAATACGGTATAAGCAATAATTCGCCGCAAATAATACGATATTTTAATGATCTTTGTATCATTGTTTGATGTTATGCATTGTAGTAAGGAAGATACGAAGTAAATTCTACAGGTACAAAAATGACGTAATTTTTAACTATGACGTCACTGATACGCGTGAAACATCCAATGGTCGCGCAAAATCGTTAAATTATGCTGGAAAATGGGTAATCTTTGCAGAAATTAGATCTTTTCACATGCAACAACCACTTTTGTACTCCGCATATAAGTTCATCATTACATATCTTAGTTACACTATTAAAATAGTGTTGGTTGTCACCTGTGATCAATATGAATTTTACAAAAGTTAGCATACGGATATAGATATTCTACCAACGCAATGTTCCTGATTCGATGCTAATGACGCTTAATTTACACAGAATGAGATTTTTTGTACTTCAAGTCCCATCACTGGACTTAGTAAACTATACAAATACCCCTAAATATAAATAAAATATTTTGAAAACAAAGTATAAATTGCAGTTAAAGATGCCGTTTATGCTGTTTGTACATCGTACATGTATGCACTTGCATACTCGTATATAGTGCCCGCGTCGGCTGTACATGTAGCATTGAATAACAGCACAAAAATATCATTCACAAAAATAGCACAATATGTTTTAAATCTAATCATTACAAGAATAACTTTAAAAATCTGTGATACATGTATCTCCAGAATAATTATATTTTCCTTTATGAGTCTTCCTCAATGTGTATGTAGTGTTTAATACTAGTCATAAATAGTGTGTCCTCCGAACAATCATGAGAAACATTAAAATACAATAAAATGCACATACATTGAATAAACTTTTACGATAACATTTAAATGTAGCATTAAAGTACATGTATGGTTCAACATTTAATTTGTCAGATCAAGTATTGCTTTATAGCCATTAATTGTGAAATACAAATATTTATACATGTACATGCTGTAAATCTTGGCAGTGTGTAGTTGATAGCAGATCAAAAAATAAAAAACACAACCAATCCAAGAAAATAATAGATACTAGATCGTACGCACATTAATAGTACGGAATAGCGCATACAAATTCAAATGTTTATTTATTATAATTTTTTTTTTTTTGCAAATATTTTTTGCATTGAACATTATACAATTATTGCTGTGTTTTGAGGTCAATACAATGATTTAGCCATCTGAGGAGTACAATATTCACCGAGCCCGGAGGGCGAGGTGAATATTGTACTTCGAAGATGGCTGAATCATTGTATTGACCGAAAAAACAGCAGTAATTGTTTTATTATATGATTCACTAATAAAATGATAAAACCCATTACTTGTTTGAAGTCATATCCAAATACAATTAAGAGAGAAGCAGAATGAAAATGTTAATCAACCTTACAGGTCGTATTTAATTTTTATTAAAAAAAAATTATCAATTTTTAATCTATGAAAATTCTTTTTATGTCAGTCTTTTTTCTGGGATAGATTTTTAAAGGAAGGAGTATTATAAGGGAAAACTAACTGCCAAAAAGTAAAAATTGTGATTCAGTAAAAGTAATAGATCTAGAGGAGTGTCCATGCATCCCCTCTTACCACCCTCACCCGAAAACATATATTCGCTTATGTTTTCTCCACATGAAAACAAGTCATAGTGGTTTAAATAGCTTTCCAAATCAATTTGTATCAATTTGGAATATCCTGATTATTTTTAGATCAATGTAGAGGAAATAAATCCTTGTATTGACCTGGAGCGTCACGTGCAGGTCAATACAACGTAGTATTTTTCTAACATAGTTGGATCTCAGCCAATCAGAGAGATGGAAATTATTCAATCATATAATAATACTGCGTAGGTTTAGCCCCCCCCCCCCCCCCCCACACACACACACAATTTCCACAGACACGTTACGTTACAGTATAGGTTTAAAATTGGGAAAGTGGTGCTGTTTGGAAAAACATATTGGTACTGAAGTTCGAACCCATACCCCCCCCCCCCCTCCAACGAAATAGGTTTTTCGTGTTTGGACAATGGACATAACCTTGTTTTCTTGCTTGTCAGTTATTTTTTTTTTTGGGGGGGGGGCTAAATTTTTCTTCTTACACTTAGCCCCCCTCCCCCTTTTAATTTGCTTCCGACGCCGATGCAGAGCTCATAAATTACATGTTATATTTAGAAGCCAGTGGTTATTTGGTAAAAAAAAAAAAAAGATTTACAATGATATGCTCATATTAGGGAATTATCGACAATCAGCAGCTTCTGACTTGTGATCAAGCTAAGGACTCCCCTACCCTTTATCCTTGGATTTTCAGATTTTTTAGAGATTACATGTAACAGTAGAGAGTCAAACGGTTGAGGCAGAACCCACGTGATTCTTTGTTACGAAGGAAAGCAGATCGTCTTCGAAAATTGTCAGCAATGAAATAATTGTTTGGACACAATTGCTGTTTTGTTTTTCCCTGTGAAAAAAAGTCTTATTGTGCTGCAATTAAGCTATAAAATTAGTGATATCCGTAAACAGTACGTCTTTTATGTACACAGATACATGTAAATATATTTCACACTTAAATCCAGGTAAATCCGTAATTTCCGACTGCATAGACAATCACAATTGAATTTCTTAATTTGTGATCATGAACACCATGTAGAAAAACAAGCATCTATTTTTAATATTTGTACTAGATTTAGTTACCACATATTAGTACATGTTTATATATGATAAAATCCCACCACTTTAGTACACGTTTATATATGATAAAATCCCACCACTTTATATCATTAAATATATATTCATTTTGTACTATAGAAACGGCATGGCGTATATTGGGACATACATGTACAAGGAATTACATGTAGAATTAGAAAAGTCAATTTACCACTGCTAAAGAAGAAGCTAACGACTAAATTTTTTGTCAAAAAAATTCAACATAGGCACGTAGCAACAGGGGAGGGTTTTTTTTTCCAAAAGTAAATTTTACTATTGGAAATGTTCTTTGATAGGCCGGTTGCCCCCCTCCCCCTCCATTTTTTGTTACAGTACAGTTACAGTTAAGGGTAAATTACATATACATGTAGTATATATATATATATATATATTGTATTTAAGAAATGGTACTAAAGAAGTTGGCCTCTACACACACCTCTTCCCCCTTGAAACATGACTTTCGAGTTTGGGGAATTCCCTCTCCCCCCCCCCTTTATGTTTTTTTTATTTTCATTAATATTTCGTTTTTTGCTTGTCAACTATTTTCAGGTAAGTTATTTTTTTTTCATCTTTGCCCCCCCCCCCTTACTTTCAAAAACGATGCTACGTCACTGCAACATTTTCAGAAAAGGAAATACCCATTTATGGGGGAGGTAGTGAAAACTGTTAACTCTCCAAAAAAAAAATATTGATTCTCCGTTCCATCAATATATATATTTTTTTGGAGAGCTACATTCTGCAGCTAAGGGGAGGGTGGTGTCATGGGCCAACTTATGAAAAGACCCGTGTTTCCCGGGTAGGGCTTGCAGGTTGTTCGTGTTCTTTGTTTTATTTTATTTTATTTTATTTTTTATTATTTTTTTTTTTTGCTAATTTTAACTTATTAAAATTCATTCCTGTGGAAAATGACTAAAATTTCTTTTCATGGACCAATACATTTTACATGTTTAGTACATCCTTTACACATAGGAAATACCTGTCTGTATTGTATTGTAAATTAACCCATTAGATTCTTTTTGCTTATTGCGAGAATTATACGTGTATCACGTTCAATTGTCAGAAAAAGTAGACACAAAGAAGATTTTTTATTTTTAGATAGCTACATTCTCTACCAAGCAAAGAAATTTTGCGAGAAATGGAAAAAAAACCCAGAAAGTGTTACTATCAACTTTAATATTTTGATCCTAATAAGAATAGGCGAAAACGAAATAAAGACATATTTGGAATTTGGGATAAATATTTGTCATTGGCTGCTATAGGAGTTGGGGATTCTGAAAAAAAAAAAATCCACGAGCGATTATACTTATCCGACATTATTGTCAACATGTATTGAATATGTAAACATATAATAAAATGACTTATACCTGTGTAAGTATTTACACGGACTTATAAATCAAAATGTAGAAAGCCTTTCAAGTGAGAAAAGAGTAGAGTAGTCTTCTAAATACTAAAACAATAATAATTTCGGAACAGGTGTTTAAAACGTTTTAAGCGAATTTGAAAGAATGCCTGTTATATTAGGCATAATTAATAATATGAACTCATTAAACTCAGAAAGGGGGGGGGTACATTTCAATTTCAAGTATTCCTCTGTCATCAAGCAGGATATAAATGAATATATCACAGAAAACAATCAGTTTTAATGTACCAATGAACTTTAAAAAGTTTACTGTGCTGATATTTTTTTAAATCGGGCTCGAAATCCCTCGCATTCTTATTTATATGATGTAGAGGGGGGTCTGTCCTGTACATTATATAAACATAGTATTCTAAACTACTGTTCAAATAATTATGATAATAATTTAAATAATAATTATCTTGACATTCGAGTTTTTTTTTAAATGTTCGTGCACCTTATATACCATATTCTAAAGAACTGATTTTTTTTTTTTGGTGCCGGGGAAACGTTGATTTTTTTTTTCATCAGGAATGCCATATACGACAGCCAACTGCTTACTGCCAACTGCTGACTGCTTACTGCCAACTGCCAGATGCTCACTGCCAACTGCCACACATATTTTAATAAATTTTCATATTTTTGTTAATATTTATGTGAATTGTCGAAAAAAAAAAAATCAAAATTAAAAAAAGCATGGATCCAGGATTTTTTTTCCAGGGGGGATCCACCCCAGTCTAAATAAATTGAACTCAGAAATTTCTTGACAAATAGCGTAAACTCCTTTCGTAAACGTGAAAAATTATTTGGGCGGTGTGGGTTGGTTATGTTCCATATCTTCATATCTATGATTTTCACACAAATTAACTTGATACAGATCCGCGTTTTCAGGGGGGGGGCTCCAAGGTCAGTTTTAAGTACTCATTCTGAAACCATTGATAAAAAAGTAATTGCTCTTATGTATAACTCCTTTAATATCTTATAAAATGACCATTTTCCTGTTTTATTCAAATATATGTGGCAGTTGGCAGTAAGCAGCTGACAGTTGGCAGTAAGAAGTTAGCAGTTGACATTAAGCAGTTGGCTGTCGTATATGGCATTCCATACATCAGGACATTTTTTCACTAGATCTGATGTAAAGAATTTTTTCAATTCATTTAAGAAAAATAGCTAAAAAAAATTATTAAACCCGTATAATCAATGCAATAAATAAAAAGAAAGCAAATCTCAAAGAGAAAAGACTATTTATTTCTTTTTCTCCTCGTTCCTCTGTTTGATTTAATTCTAATCAACTAAAGCGGCGACTCCTTCGTGGAGGATAACATTGTAAGTAATAATGAAAATAAATAAATAAAAAAAAACAATAATGACTTGTTAATAAATCAACAACTTAATTTCTTAAATTTATATTTACAGTGTAATATAAACTGTGTCCTAGCCAGTAAATTAGAATTTTCAGATTACGCTTACTACACGTTTAACGTATTCATGACGTCGCGTCAAAATTCTCCGTAAAAATCTCGACGTTCTGCTATAAAAGGTACTGTATTCAGCGTTATTTTTCCAATGCATACATTTAAGTCAGATATATAAATTATATATCATTTGATTCTAAAAGTTCTAAGCTTTTTAAAATGTTTTGAACAAAGCATGTCTGACAGTCGGCATTTTTTAGCCAATACCGTACTTTGTTCTTATCTTTTATTTGTTTGACACCAGGAGAACAGATACTTAAGTAATATTTAGCATGGATTAGTGAAAAAATGCATTATTGTTAATTTATTTTATATCCATTGAAATCGTGAAAAATGTTGTTATTGTTAAATATATATGAAAGTATAAAGTGTATTTCCTATTATAGACAGAAATAAAGAGACCTTGGGCAGGTAATTATTTAATAAGTCTTTTAATTCCATGAAGAATCGTCATGTCTTATTCCTTAAAAAGTCTTCAAAACGTGATGATTTAAAAAAAAAAGATAATTGAGTGGGATAGTTTGGGGAAAAAGGATCAGTTAAAATGTCTGTTTTTAATATGTCTGATAACTTTCTTTTAGTTCTTATTTCTTGGAAAAATTTGAGTTAAGTTGATACATGAAAAGTAATGACTATACTTACTTTTTTGAGTGAACAAAGCACAAACGTGATTATCTCCCGTGAAGATCACCATTACCAGGGAATTTCAAAAACAGGTAATGTTTGATGAGATAATCTTTGTTAAAAGTTCACTGTATGATGAATTATGTCAAATATTTACCCTTTTTTAAAAAAAAGGCTAATATCTGACGTCTATTGCACAACTGATATAAAGAGAGTTAGATATATTTCGATGTACTTCTGATTATGTATGTATTTCAAATAACTATCAATACTTTGGTTTGATATCTATCTGAATTTCATCGGAATATGCTAATATTACTTTTTCTTTCAATTACTATTTCTTCATTTCTTTTAGAAACAACTGATACAAACGTTTATGAAAAGATAAAAGGTAATATAATTATGAAATGTCACGAACAAAGAAGCAAATCTTTCAATGTAGTATAGCTAGTTTGTTCTTTAACAATGTATAATTACGTTTCTTCATTTCAGACTCTAATAAAGCAGAAAATAGGTATTTATGAAAAATTATCAAAGTTGTAAATACCTTAACAATTTTGAAAATCTATTGCATACATTGATCATATTAAATATGTACATTAAATAATCCATGCATATTTCTCTGAATTTTTATATAGGGGTGATCCAAGCATGATAAGCAAATCAAATCGTTTGTTAACTAAATTATATCGTTCCTTTATAGAGTGCAATACCTTGAATTAATTGATGTGCCGGAAGTTGATAAGAAAAATGACAGAGTCAATACTCCAAGTAAGTGCTAGTGATGTTGTTACTAATACAGTAGTAAGGGATAATATTGTTATAGTTCTCAAGAGAAATACAATAAACCTTTTCCAGATCACAAGTAAAAAGTAGAAAATTGAAAATGATATTAACAAGACTGTTTATACTTATTATGTTTATAAAGAATAGACCCTTGATCTTTTGATTGAAAAGAGCATACTCTGAGTATGATTAATTTTAAACCGAGGCAAACTACTCAGACATAAGTTGGTATGAGGGGGATTCAACAAAATTGTTTAAAGTCTTTGACCGTTATATTAAACAATAAAAAAGGTAAGATAACGAGCAGTGATCGATCCATATAAAGTATAAGAACAGTGTGAAGATATTATACAACACGGACCCCTGGACATTACAAAGATAAGGTGAAGTTCCCTGGAGGAGTAACATAGCTTACCAATGGGTTATGTTTCGGCTGACATGTTTCATACCAATTCTTAAACCTCTTTTATTGCTCTTAATTTGACTACAATGTGCTTTTCTTGATCAATACATTAGGCTTATGTGACTTTTAGAGAGGCACCAGATCCCACCTCTGAAATGTCCAAGAATCATTGTTTATGCCCTAGTCACAAATTTATAAGTCTGTTGTTGATAAGAAGCTCCTTATTCATAATCATGTAGCCAGCCAAAGGCAATATTGTTTATGAATTGTATGTGCATAATCTTCTCATTTTCTCATTGTAGGTGATGAGAGTAGCTACTCTAACATTACATAATCCAAAAGAAGAATCAGAAAGGAACAATGACAAAAAAATTAACTTTCAATTTTTCTTCATATATTCTTTTATATTTAAAGCATGAAGTTTTAATTGAGTAATTTATTTCCACTTTGGGTTTCAGTGGCGGGAACTTTTATAATGGATGCTAGAGGTTACGTGGCGCGAAGTCAAAAGAATCTCGCCGTGAATCTCTAGCATGATCAGCTGGATTAGTAAGACTTCGTATGAAAAACCTGAGTCAGCATTTTGCTTAATGATAAATTGCATTTGCTGATAAGATCATTGTGTCGACCATAGATCTTACAAAATGGTCAATTTAAACGAGAATGCTGATATTCCTGTTTCAGCGACTTGTTTGTCAATAACTTACCTCTTTTTAAAATATGTTTGTGCGTAGTCCATGCTCTTGCTTATTGAAGCAACTGAGAAATATGAACCCTGATTTTAAGTGATGAAGATATATTGCTGCATAAGTAAGGGAGGCTGACAAATGAAACGTTAAAGTCATCAAGTTTATCGTAAAGCTTGTTTGTTAAATTACCATAAAATTCTTTTTTCATGTTAGTTATTGACAGACACGTTGCTGAAATAGGAATATCAGCATTCTTGTTAAAGTGATCATTTTGTTAGTTTTGTGCCTTGGAACAGTGATCATCCCCTGCCGACCGGTCACACCCGCCGTGTGCTCCTTGTCATGATCGGGAAATAATGGAAAAATTAGTCGTCAATTCAGCGTATAAATAATGGAATAACAATAAGTATCAGAAGTGTCAGTTAGCATTTGACTTAATGATAAATTGTATTTGCTGACAAGGTCATTGTATCCACCATAGAACTTACGAAATGATGATTTTAAACGAGAGCGTTGATATTCTTGTTTCATCAACTTGCATGTCAATAATATACCTCGTTTACGAGATTCTTCATACATAGAGCAAGCTCTTGCGTATCGAATCAACTGAGATATATACACTCCGTATGCAGGTAATGAAGGTATATTGCTGCATAAGTAAGGGAAGTTGACAATAGAAAAGTTAAAGCCATCACGTCAGGGTATCATAAAGCTTGGTTGATAGATTACCATTAACGTCTTTTTCAAGTAAAGATCCACGTATGAAACAGATGCTTCAGACTCTGTGGTGTCTTTTATCTGTAAGATCACCAGGATATATCGTATCGACGAAGGAATGGAAATTACCTTTGTAAATTGACAATACAATGTCGATATATCTAAATGTCGAGTTGAAGGCCACAGCAAGTGTTTTCTTCTTTTCACGCATAATATTTTGCAAAAGTCTTCTACATATGAATATAAGAATAGGTCTGCTAATAACGGAGCGCAATTGGAATTCCAATAGATTGTTGGAAGACCTGGTCTCCGAAAACCGTTTAGATATTGTCAATCAGAAACACAATCATCATTTTATGTCATCTTCAGAGTACTTGTGTGTGCAATTAGAATTTGTTATAATAAAATAATTATGCACATGACTAATTCCAGTTAAGTAAATTTACGAGCTCCATTTTTATTTAAAAAAAAAAGCAGCTGTCAATGATATTAAAAAGCCTGGTCTTTAATTTTTCGTGGGGAATGGTTGTATATAAAGTTGGAAAGTCGTAAGTTTTTAAGGTGTTGATTTCGGTAAAATCTCGTGATTTCAAATTATCTAAAAGTTCTTTTGAGTATCCACATCTGATTCACACCACTTCGTGACTATATTGTTGCACAGTACTCCCGACGTTTTTCCTACACTACTGTCAATATCTTAGTGAGGAGTAACGGAAGTGGCTTGGTTGAACATTTACTGGAACCCGCAATGTATCTTTGTTTGTAAGGATTTTTATGAAGTTTCGGAATCCAATATATATAAGATAGTCCAAATTCCTTTTGGCTCTGTGGAAAATTAAAAATATTTAAAACTGACATTTGATTTTGAAGAATCTTCCCTTAGAGAGGGAAGTTTGAGTATAAATAGGATTACCACTTGTAGAATTAAATCCATGTTCTTCTAAAATACAGTTTATGTAATGAGCCTTACAAACGCAGACTATGTTGTTACCTGCTTTGTCGGCAGGAACCAGTACATACTGATCATGTAATCTATCATGTAACACAGAAGGATATATGGTTTTCATATTGCCCCTCAATTTTTTTAATACGCGACTTTAACATGGATCTGATGCATGTAATCTATCATGACAAGGTGTCAACTATGGCATGTCAAACGTTGCAATATTCGATAATCTTGTGATGTATATTCAAAATCTTGTGATGTATGTTCGAAATCTTGTGATGTATATTCAAAATCTTGTGATGTATGTTCAAAATCTTGTGATGTATATTCAATATCTTGTGATGTATATTCTAAAACTTGTGATGTATATTCTATGATCTTGTGATGTATGTTCGAAATCTTGTGATGTATATTCTATAATCTTGTGATGTATGTTCGATTCCTAAATCTTGTGATGTATATTCGAAATCTTGTGATGTATGTTCGATAATCTTGTGATGTATATTCGAAATCTTGTGATGTGTGTTCTACAATTCAGTGATGCGTGCAATAAAATTGCATGACGCAACAGAAAAGCAATATTTACTGGATTTCTGAGATACTCCTATTTTGAAGTTTCGTTCATAAATTGGTTTCTTTAAAGTTTAAACTGGATTACGAAGTATTATTGTCATTGCTTGAACTGGATTACGAGATTGTTGCTTTCTATATAAAATGCATAATGTTTGTTTATTTTCTGCCTTATTCATTCGCTGTGCAAAATCCTTTGTTCACACAGTCCAGTATTATTTTGGAGTACAATATTAAATATAATATTGTACTCCTGACAATAATATTGGACTATAGCAAGTACCCTCTTTGAAATACGAGACTGTAGAAACAAAATAATGACGTCACAAAAATGTTTTAATGTATATTTTTAGACGAGCTCATCGCCAACCAGGAGATCAGAATGATCGCATCTGCTCCTGCCACTTTAAGGATGGTAAGAAGGAGGGGGACCCTGCATATTTTGCATGGAATGAAGGAAAGGCCATGGATTTCTCTGATCCTGAATGTACAAAAAGGTGAAATTATTTTTCAAAATGTGACCGACATCTTGTTTTTGGATGGTGGGTGGGTGGAGTTTAATTGAAAATATTTTACTAAAAAACTTTAAAAGGGTACATGTATAAACAGAGTAGCTTACAACTGAATAAAAAAATAATTCAAGTTTAATTATTTTACAATGGAGGAAAAAACTCAAAAGTGAGGAGTCCCTGTCATCTTCACAGATGGACCAGTTGCAGATTCCACAAGCACCAAAATGTCAATATCAAGAAAAAGTAAAGCTCATTTAAAACACCAATGATGACAAATGACCAACACTGAAACATTTTCAATAATTTTTAATAATATATAAAGTTCTTTTAACTGTACATGATTTACAATATATTTTCAGTTGATATCAGAGCACAACTACTCAGCATCCTGCACATTTAACTGTACTCAAGAAATGCAGCGCCTCTCAACAGAAATACAACTGGAAAAGAATTGCTTGCCCTAAAAATAGAGTCTAGTAAAAGGAAGCCAATATCAATCCACGATATTAAATACAACGAAGAGAAGGTACATTTAAAGGAATTCCAATTGTGATTTCCTATTTCCTATCAATTTCAGTTACTGTAATAAAAACTTGTTGCCATTGAGGGATGAACATCTTAGATTGACTGTTATGTTAAACATATTTTGTTATTATTTGGGAGTGTTAGGTCTCTGATCAGCAGGGGCATTTTCTCTATATAAGAAGAAAATGGAGACTCCCTACCCACCCGATGTATTTTGTCGGACAGTTTTCTGTACATTGCAGGTAATTTTTTTATTTATTAACTTTCCAGCCTCTTATTGTATAGTACATTTTGGGGTTTGAAGTAAGTTTTTGCTTTTCTTTAATTTTTAAAAAAAATTATTTAAATTCTCCTTTTCTTAGAATAAAATTCAAAAAGTAGCTTCTGATTGTAATGTATAAGACTACAGACATTGAACTTTGATTTGTTATCAAAAGGATTGATTTAAACTTGTCTAAATTAATTGTAAACAAAAATAAAAGGGGGCACCTGCTATTTCTTTAAGTGTTTTTCACTGGGGGGTGGGGAAACTTTTTTGTACATACTTGAGCAATAGGAGGGATTAGATAAGAATCAATTAGTATATCAGAGTCTTAAATAATATCCTTTGCATAAGCATAAAAAAAATTCTATATCAGTCTTTTTAAAACCTTTGAATTTTGCTTAATTAACTACGATTTATCCAATTTTGGAGCTTTTTACCTAATTCTGGGTAGAATCCACCCTTATGAAATTATTGACTCAATTTTGACTTAATATCACTTTATTAACATTAAAGCACAAAAACAATTCATTGTACAAATATTTTATTTATTACAGTCACCAATATATCCAAATATCATCACCGGCCCAGACGTCATTCACTCCTTTGAATTGTGCTGGTAGCAGTAAGGTGTCATCATTTGAGATGGTCACAGTATCCAATACACTGAAGTCACAGGACTCAAATTTCATACATGTTCACAGGTAGGTGTATAGTCTTTGAAATTACCACAATTGACTAATTCTGGGACAGGTAAGTATGTAAGTATAGGAATGAGAGCACCAAATTCCCGAATGTACACATGGCTTTGTTTGTTATGGAACATTACACTGAATACTGAATGGGTAGGCGTTACGCCATTGGCTGAAATCAGGTATTTAATTGTTTTCATTTTAAAGTAAAATTAATGACCTTTGAAATAAATGATGGGATGAGGGAATATTACAGAAACTATAGAAATGCCAGGGAAGATTTTAGGAGTGGGGGTTGATTTTTTATGCCGCGTGTTATTTACTGCGAATCTCTAAAAGTTGAAAATAACTGCAATTTTGACCTATAAACGCCATGGGACCATGTATTTTTTTCAGTATTTTTTGTTAGGGCTTAGAACAA